CAGTGGGGTGTACGGGCAGGGCAGTGGGGTGTACAGGCAGTGGATTGTACAGGCAGGGCAGTGGATTGTACAGGCAGCTGCTCCCACACACCACAGGGGGCTGAGTACATGTGTGACAGTACAGGGAACTCTTCCCCAGGGGCTCTACCCACTTCGTGCTGACGCTCAAGGGAGTTCTGGCACCAGAGTCAACACCAGCTCAGTGGTCTGAGGGACCCGGGAGTGGTGACTGTGTCTGTCACGGCCAGCTGAGGTGCCTTTGGCCCCTCTGTCTCCCAGGCTGGGACACTGATGTTGATCAGACAGTATGTGTTACTCATACTGAGTTAGCAGTGGGTTTCTGATGAGTTTCTTATCTGGGGACTTATGTTTTCAAGAGGATTGTTCGTATTCTATATTAATAGCGCTTTTCAGGAAAAGTGATGCGTTACCACTATAAAGTTGTACTTGTCTGTCAGATTGAAAAGTCTACTGTGTGGTGAAAGAAAGGAAGAAAAGAAAAAAAAAATTAGCTCCTTTAAAAATTGCCTTTTTTTTTCTTTTTCCTTGTTTTTTTTTTTTTGATGGACTGATTTTCCATATCTGCAGAGAGTGAATCAGTCCTCCCCGACAGCAGACTGTGCTATAACTTTCACCGAAATAGGCTGGACAATAAATGGAACCTTTTTCTGTAAAATACTGAGTTCTACAGGCTCTGCAGAAGTTGCTGGGAATGCATCCCTTCTCCCCAGGATGTAGGAAGTATTGAATTAGTTTATTTAACTCTCTGCTTTTAATTGGTTAATTCTATGCCAGTTATTTTAGGGTGAAAGAAGAGGAGGATATATAAAATACATCTCATAATCAGTTCTTTAATGCATTTTTAATTTCAGCACAGACACACTGCTACAGGAAAAATCAATCTCAATCCTAAAAGATGAGAAAATAGGTTGATAGTATCTATTTCTAAACTTATTTTTCTTGCAGTCACAAAATGTGAGTTTTATGCTTCCAACTTAATACGATTTTTTTCCCATGTTGTTCTTCGAAGTCCGAGCATTTGATCTATCAAAATAAATTTGCTAAATGCCCCAGAGAATATCATATCTTCAGTTGTAAAATAGCTCTAACTGTTAAAATTTAAAATGATCTGAACCATCAAAGAACCTTAACAAGGGAAACCACATTTCATCATTTCAGATACACCGTGAGTTTTGCGCAGATCCAGTCTAACCTATAATGCAATATGTAGAGAACATTTAACGATTCTGCCAAAAAACCCG